TCCACGAAACCTGAGTGCTACGGTGGGCACGGCCAACGGCTGCTGCTTCCAGCTACTCAGGTAATTTTGATGTAAAACTCAGGAGCTTTACAGGGCAGTGCCTAGGTGATCGGGGCGTTTCTGGTTTGCACCTCGGAGACGCATGATGTGGCTCATCTTTTGCACAAGTCAGAAAAAGAGTTAACTTCGCTGGGCAGCGATTCTGTATGTACACTGGTTACCTGTTTTCTCTGCCTAATCAGTTCAAGTCCTAGTGAGAAAAACAACTAACTGCAAGGAAGAATAGTTTATGGCACTGTTCTTAAAGGGGACAGCGATGGTTCCCATAAAATTAGGGTAAAGAATCTGAAACAGAAGTGAATGCTTTAGAGCACTGTTGAGATAAAACTAATTCCTTTTCAGTAAAGGTAAGCGCAGTTCTCTTTTCAGCTACTTGGGAAGGGACTGAAGAACATAAAGCCTTACCAAAAAAAAAAAAAAAAAAAGTCAAGTGGCATTTTCCTCACTGTGACCACCTAGCCAAGCTGCAAAGAGAAGAGCAAGGGAATAGGTGCTTTCAATGGATGAAAACCACATCAGGCTAATTAAACACAAGTACTTTGATCTTTCAGTGAACAAAATCACTTCTAAGAGATTTCATGTGGGGATTAAGTTTCTTACTTTTGCCCAGAAACTTACAAGGATCATGAGTTTTAAATTTTTTTTTTTATTATTTATTTTTAAAACTGTAGCTCTGAAAGTACAGAGACAGCACTGAAATACAGCAAACAGTGAACTTTGATCTAGGAGACCACCTACAGAGCAAACCCAAAAGATTCTAGGCCTGAATTTAAATGACGTCCCCATTTGTATGGACTGGCTCTTCTCTCCTGCAGTTTTTCAATACTCTGGAAGCTACGGCTGAAACAAAGGACACATCTATGCGGTTTACACTTACACGGCACTGCTCTGGTAATATACTACAGCTGTGGTATCTTCAGCAGCCACGTGATTAGAAATTGAATATCTTCCTCACAACAGCAACTAACTTCTCATCTGTTGGTGGCTTCCTCTGGCTGCCAGGCTGCAAGAATTTTTTGATTGTTGGAATGTTGCTTGTTCTTCCTTTAAAAGCCTGTACGACACAGCAGTAAAGCCAATGAGAGTAAGGCAATTATAATTCCATCCTTTATAGCTTAAAAATCAGGTGACTTGCATTTTTACTTCTCAGACATACTAATTGAACAGAGAAAGGTAATGGCTCCTTATAGCCAGCTCAGCACTCAGCATTTTCCATTAAAAACAAACAAACAAACATACACCTACAACATATTAGCCTTCTTGGAAAATCCAGGTGTGAATATTCTGATCTGCAATGCTGGTGCTATAAAGTTTACCTTAGTTTCCCAGATGGGGATGGGAGAAATTAGTATTAAAGAGTTAAGATTCATCTTGTAAAGATGGAAGAAAGCGAGGGGAAAAAAAAAAAAAAAAAAAAAAGCAAAACCCACAGCCCGAATCCAAATCCTGCAGATATATTTGGGCAAAAAAGAGGGAAGGACAGGAATACCTCAGTGCAAAGCACCATGGGAGACCAGACATAAGAAACCTAACAGCTCTTGCATGATTTCTTCAAAATATAATTTTGCTATCAAAAAGAGAAGGACAGGAACTGCAGACACAACAGCCTGCAGGCTTCCCCTCCTGATGCTCATTGCTGTGTTTGAAGATGTGGAAGTAGCAGTTACAGGACCAAACCAGTAGCGTTAGTAGTGAATTCCTGCTACCTGAGAACGGCTGGGAAAAGCAGAGCTGGAGAAAGGTGAGCCCCCAGCAGCTCTGGGGGCCAGGCCTCTGTTCAGGCTGTTGTAGTCAACAGAAGTAGACCAAAGAACTGTCGGTAACATGGTACAATGGTTCAAAAGATTTAAACATCAATTAGCTTTTAAAACTGGGCAGTGAAATTTGTGTGTAACATTCCATATTGAGATCAGACGATTACTAACCTGTAGCAGAGGGAACGCAGACAGTATATCAGGCTTACATTCTTCTGCCATTAAAATGGCTTCCAGCAGATGGACGTCTGCCAAGCTCAATTTGTTGCCAACAAGATAATCATGCCCATGGTCTTTTAAGGCCTACAAAATATGAATGAATAAAAATGTCATATTTGATGTAACAATTTTATCTAGATATTTCATTACAGATTTCTACAAAAACATACAGCAGAGCAAATCCATGCAAGAACCTATTATAAAGTTAGAAAGTGATAGGTACTCTCACGACAAAAAATTAAATCAGAACTCACGCTTCAGTGTGCTTGGACCAACCACTCTACCCTACTGCAGCAGGTAGCTGTAGTAACTCCAGTACCTCAAGAAAGACTTAAATCATACAAAAGAAACAAGACTGAAGTAATTGGAAGAGGCAGTCGGGACAGTTTACCTGTAGCATACTTTGTTTTTTGTTTGTTTGTTTGTTTTTAAAAAAGTCAAGTGAATTCCAGATGTTTCAGCAAAATTTGAGATTGCTGATTATGGTTTGCAATAGGTCAGGTAAGAAGGAACACAGCCTTTCCACCCTCGATCCTGTATGGAAGGATTCTTTCATGGTAAACTGCTGATGCAAGAATCACAGCCTGCCAAAGCTACTAAGAGCTGTAAGAGACAAGTTGTGGTGAGTGTCGCAGCACAGCTTCAGAGCAGTGACCAGCTCTCCTGCCTACCTGTTTCCTCAGGACTACCACCCTCGTAGCAGGAGAACGAGCCAGAAACATGTCTGTGCCCAAGCTACTCTAGTGCTACACTTTAACAACTAACAAACGTGCACTAAAACGACATCAGTCTGTGACGCAGGAATCCGATTCCTTCTCCAGTCCCATCTGCCAATTTTACTGTTAAACCGGCAGGAAGCTCTGACAGAGGCAAAGCCGCTGCCTTCATGTAGTTACTCCCTATACTGCTCTAACGAGGGCCACCACAGCCTGTCTATCAAAGCCATATGGAAGCTCCCAAACAGCACTGGAACCAGATTGCCTGCAGTGCTTTACATCACCTTTTGCTGCTCTGTCTGGCTGCTGGGGGGTTAAAGTGAACACTCCTAGCTAGGGATATTTTCTGTTGGGATTGCGTAACATGTGGAGTGCAAACCCTGCTAAGATGAATCAATGGTACAGAATGAAAATTATTAATCATTCTAACAAAATTAACTAGGCTAAAAGTCATGGATAAGTTTAGCTGTGTCTTCACTGTAAGTGAACAAGGATTATTTTAAAGACTTTACTCCTGTGAGCACACACACTAAAACATATCGTAACAGTAGTTTATGCCACCATGGCACAGGTTCAGAGAATACTGGTATCTAAATTTGCTTTTTTATTTGTTAATAACTTAAATACTTGTGTTATCAGACTTCAAATCTTTGAAAGATTAATGTGTGCAATCAAGCTTTCTCAGCACAGCCTTCCATTGGTACAGCAGCAGATATATATGAACTCTGAATACAGGAGTGCTGACTTACGTAATTTATGTGCCATTTTTTTCCACAGGGCAGCCTCTGTGGGTTTCACTTGAGCAATTTAAGGCTCCGATAAAGAGGCACGTGAAATTGCATCAAGTCCTGTAGTTTTTGAATGGACTTCAGCTGCCTGTGAAACAAGGATTCAAGCTAGAAACCCAGCTCAGCTCTGAAACAACACAGCTTTGTACCCTTGGCACAGACTTCGGAGGAGGCTGCCACGCTCTGAAAAAGCGCTATGGGAAAGTCTGTATAGTACAGCTATACAATGTACAAAAGGTAAAGTTACAAACAGAAGGAGGATAGTGAGATGAGGATCACAGCTGCTCAATTCAAACAGGAAAATGTTAACGCCCAAAAAAAATTACAATATCCTGAAGGGAAAAACAAAAGAAAACAACAGAACAAACAGCAAGTCGGTAGAAAATGGCAAGTCGGTAACATCCAGGCTACGTTCCAGGGAGAAGCGAAGAACAACCCATCCCCTCCTGAGCCACGAAAGACTCTTCATGGGCTCTGTGGGGGTGGCAAGCATACCAATGCTGTACCTTGTAGCTCATTAGAGGCTAACCCTGTAGTGCATGCTAGCCAGTAAATAATTGCTTTATGCTTTTAAGCTAGATACATCCTGTTTGCAGAGCCTCTTTGTGCACTCCTAAGGATGCCTAATTAGCAATTCAGAAATAGACAGTAATAGTCTGCGAGTATATTTAAGCAATGGGTTTGAGAACGATCAAGAATTAGGTCCTTAACTATAAAGCACCATTATATTTAATTTTGAACTGTAAGAGTACATAGACTTTCAGGCAGTAAGTTCTGAAGGCTGGCCCAGGTATTTAAATGGTGCATTTACACAAAATTCCAGGAGCCATCAGCCACCAAGCTAGGCTGAAATAGTAGGATCTGCTATTTGAGGAGTCTGACGAGAGGACAGCATAGACACTCAGCTGAAACCACCTGCATATTACTTCGTGGCCCTGTTTTCACATTGCTGAATGCTGGCTCCATCATAGACTTCCAGAGTTGTACTGTCACTTGCCTTCTGGAAAGCAAGTGTGTAGGGCCAAGGGAGTGGGGCAGGCAGCAACCTGTACCCCACTTTACTGTCTTTGTGGGCTACTGGTGATTTATCACTTACCTTTTCATAAACAGGAAAGTACCTGGTTGTAGCTCGTTCAATGATTAAGGCAAGATTCTTTTCTTTTGTGTCAGCTGGTTGATAAGGTAGATGCATGATCATTCCCATCAGGTCTGTTGTTCCCTCCACGTACATATCAATCCTAAACCAAACATTTTTATTTTATATTTATCATTTGAACATTCCATTTTGGTTATTTTCCTGAAATACAATGTCGAAGTGATCACTGACTGAAACGCTTATTAGTGAATGTAACATAAGACACTAGTTTGTTTTCTTGTTCTTCCACTTTGATTCCAGGTCAGTTTTTTTCAAAGCACAGATCTTTATAAAGGGGCTCATGTTGTCTGCAACAAGGAAGGTATAAATAAGAGTCTGCAACTAATGTATTTAAAGTGGAGTTCACACCATTTTCCATCTTATTATTCATCTATGCTGTGGGAGAAAAGACCACATATGCAAACCACACTACAGAAGAAAACAAGGCCTAATCAGGAAAGGATCTTGGCAACAAATGGCTGCCAACTGCCAGTTCAGACATGCCAGTCCATAATAATCCCCACAGTCTCTGGAGTTGCCCCTCCACTATCACAGAATAAATCGTTTACAGTAAGTGGTAGTCTGTTCAGTTAAAGACTTAATCGAATGCATCGAATGCTTGCATGACTTTTTTTTTTTTTTTTAAGAAAAAGTAAACAAGGATTTTTGCTTTTGCCTTAGCCCTTTAATTATGACAGCTTACATAGTAATGTAATAACAGGAAAACAGTGGTTTAACTTTCAGTAGCATTAAGCCACTGAACATGTCTTTTTTTTAAATCAGCTATGAAAGGTTCTTTACATTTTGAAAAAAAAGAAATTAGAACAATTAAAGACATTTCATTTGTTCTCAGGCAGCTGTAGTTTTTCCTACCAAAAAAAAAAAAAAAAAGGCATACTTAGCCTTTATTATTGTACTAAGGTCCTGCAGTTGCTCAGGAACTTAATGCACTTCTGGTCTCCATGAATTCAAATGACCCTGAACGTGGCCATAACGTTCTCACTATGCTGACAATTAACAATCCTTTATCAATCACAAATTCCATTCACCCAGTCCCTGGATCTGAGGGGACAAAGCACTGGCAGATGTATATGCACCTTTACATGCAGATATTTCACAGGAATATTCTTCTCACAAATACTCAGAATCATGGAAGAGTTTTATAAGGACGGTATGCACTGTTACCATACCAGGCTCTCTCCTTCAGGTCCTTCCCATAGAGGTTGTATTTCCCTGCTATGTAGCTGAGGATGGCTCTGGTCTGCACCATCTTCATACCATCGATCTCCACCATAGGCACTTGCTGAAACATCAGGACTCCATCTAGGGAAGAACAAGAAGCAAACTACTCAGGCTGCTACAGTACTACACAGAATCACAGAATGTTAGTTAGGGGTTGGAAGGGACCTCGAAAGATCATCTAGCCCAACCCCCCTGCCAGAGCAGGACCACCTAGGGTAGGTCACACAGGAATGCATCCAGGTGGGTTTTGAATGTCTCCAGAGAAGGAGACCCCACAACCTCTCTGGGCAGCCTGTTCCAGTGCTCTGTCACCCCCACAGTGAAAAAGTTTTTCCTTATGTTAATGTGGAACCTCCTGTGCTCCAGCTCGCACCCGTTGCCCCTTGTCCTGTCATTGGCCATCCCCGAGAAGAGCCCGGCTCCATCCTCCTGACACTCGCCCTTTACGTATTTAAAAACACTGATAATCTGAGAAAGAGACCTGGTAACACATCAAGACATTTCCAATTCTGAGGGACGAAAGCATTCGCAAGCAAGCAGGTCTCAAATCTTCTCTTTACAGGTCACATCGTATTGGAGGTCTTACAAAAATCTGACCTGTTGTCCTTTTGTTGTATCGGTGTGAATTTATGTTTAGGCTACAGTTTACAGACTCACCATTGCGTAATTTTTCTAGGTCTTCCTTTGTTTCTATGAATTCTTCCTCAAACTGAAAAGTAAAGATAGAAAACAACACTGCGTCACTCCAAAGGCAAATGAGGAAGTGGAAGGCAGTCTGGAAGTTAGACTCCACTTCTCCACGTTACTCCCCATACTTCTCATGATTGTGTTGACCCCCTGCTCCTATTCTTCATCTCTGCTGCAGCAAACAACCCAGAACTATAGTGTCCCCAACCCTACAACGCTTTAAACTTCAAGAACAGCTTCCTTCATTCTAAAGACCAGTCTACTTGCCTGCACAAACAATTAGCACACACCAAATCATTCACTTAAAAGCAGCTGATGTCACGTGAAATATTGAGAAATTTTTAAAGTTACGCCTGTGTTACACAGCATTTATGAGAAGGACATTTGAATGAGGGCAAGACCTTTGTTTCCTCAGCACTCGTGCTCTGCAGCTTCTCTGTCAGCAACATTCCCAAGTGAGCACCACTAAAAAAAGCCTTTTATTTCCAATGCAGTATAAAAACTTTCTGAGAAAACAGTTTCAAAGTACCGTATTCAAGGAAAAATTGCATGTAGATATCAAGATGCCTTAGGATGGTTTTCACCTGATGAGAATCTAGAAAGGTCCTTCACTGCCTTCAGGGCAGCTTTGCTGATTTATCCTACTCAGGTCCTGACACAAAGAATGAAAAGCATTTTGTTTGGAGATAATGTTCTGAAGTTTTCATGTGGTACGCATGGTCTTTCAGTGGAGAAAAATCATGAGACACAGAGAAGTAATGACCATTCAGAAAAAGCCAGAGATACAGAGTTTTGGTCTGTAGCAACAATTTAAGATCTCCTCAGCTCAAAGTATGTTTCAAAAATGACACTTAACAATCCTCTTTGTATGTTAAAATCCTTTTACTGGGCCACTGTTGCTCAAGGAAAACATTAAATAAATACAACATGTGAGAATGCATCACTGAATCTAAGTCTTCTGCATCACAACATATGATGATGTGCATATCTCTAAGCATAGATATAATTAGGAAACCCTTCCAAAGAATACTTATTTTACTCACAGATTAATCTGATCGTCTTATAAAAAAAAAAAAGATACAAACCTCAACCCCAGCTGCTGCTAACAGCCATCGGATTGACTCCATCTTCCCCCTTCCCCTGGTATAGTGCAGCTTGGGCTTTCCTGACATGATTTCAGCGTTCTTGTTTCCTGAAAAATTCAAGATGATGATCTTACAGGAAGCATGTTTTAAATGAGCATTTAAAATGTTCCACTCCAAACTACTAAATACAGTTGGATGCATGTGAAAGCAGAAGGGCAATCAAGATCCAGGTACTTGGGCTTGATGCAACTACGTTTCCTGTGGATTAGTTAAAAAAAAAAAAAAAAAGTAGACACTACCAGGGAAATATGCAGCAATTCAAAAAAGAATCATGACAGAATGTAATAAGCATCTACTAAATCACATATGTGTCTTTAAAAATATTAGAGCTCATGAGTTCTACAGAATTGTAAGGTATTCCTGAATAAATATATTTTAAACCTAGTAGTGATGCTATCTCTTCAGTACGTGTTGGGTTTTGTGACAGCACCCATGTCATACCAGACTTGAAAATACACTGTCAAATGAGTTGCTTCTCAAGAACACCAGCCCAGAGCCACCAACATTATCTTCACCTCTCATACTATGACATTTCAGAGCCCCACAATGCTGTGCTTTGCTGAGCTTGTAAAGGCAATATATATTCCAGCACATATTTCAGCAGGGCTGCTGACTTCCATATTTAGCTAGTTCTGCTTTGACCATTAGCCAAATTGCAATATATCCATCATAAAGAATACGGACCGACTTCAAGACCCAGTCCAATTTTACAAACAACAGTTAAACTGTAACAGCGATTTATATTCGCTCTGAAAACTTAACTTTAAAATCAAAACCAAACAAACGAAACTGTGACCTCTGTTGGGCAGATAAGGCCTGGTCAGTGCCCCCAGCAGCAGGAGGCTGAAGTCAGCCCACCAGCTGATGGCACTGGGATGAAACACTTCACCCTTTCAAATTTCACTAACAAGTGCAGTCACATGCCATAGTATGAACTTGGCAGCTGATGTGAGCTTGCCTGGTGCTGGAAACAAAGCTAATGCTGTGCTCCCATCTCTAATGGGTCCCAGAAGAAGGAAGCAGATTTAATAGGACAGTCACAGACTAACAGAGTGCTTCATCGTTAAGCCAAGGTTTTATCTGTTTACAGGCAAGCTTATTTATTCTTGCATAGACTTCACAGTACGTAATTGCACCATAAAGTGGAAACTTGAGCCATAATCCCAACAGCATCAATGAAGAGGCACAAACAAACAGTACAACAGTGAGAGGCGACACTGCATCCCTGGCCTTCACTGAAGTCTTTTGCGTTGGGTGGGAACTTCAACAGGCCCTATAGTAAACAGCTGTTGTTCTACCAGGGCTGGACTCACAGGAGAAACCTGGCGCAGGTAGAGGCCTTCAAAACTGCTGCTCAGCTTCCACCAAGCCCTGGCAATGCCTACATCCCCAGACACCTCAGTCTCTTGCAACGAATTTCTGATACATAAATATGTGCCTGATAATAAAGACTTGATTATGTCTTGATCATTTAGAGTTGGTATCTAGTCTAGAGCTGCTGGATGCCTAGCTAGGTTCCTATCATCTCAACACCAACAGGGCGCATAAACAAGGCATTTAGAGAAGTGCCTTATCACAGCTACCTTACCCAGCTCCACACTCAGAAGACCATGACCTACACTCTAGTTCCCTTAAGTGTGTGAGTTACACTATACCAAGTGAAAGAGCTCTCAACCTTCCATACCTCAAAACTACTTCATTCCCTGGTACTCAGGAAGTAGATGATGGTCTCAACTCCACTCCATCAGAGAGAACTGCACTTGGGCCCTCACAGACTGGACAAGCACTCTAAACTCCAGCATGCGGGATCAAGGCTGTGAAACACACTACAAGGACAGGCTAGCGTAAGCAGAAAGAGCAAACTTCCCTGACCTCTCCCTGAAGCAGAGATAGAGCTGATACAAATCAGCCCAGACAGAGCCCTGCTTGCCAGTGTTGGCTCAGTGCTCGCTACAAACAACTGGGAAAGCTGAAAAGCAGAGCAAGTGCCAGTGGAATAAAGTCCAGGTATCAACATAACCTGGACTTGTTTATCACAGTTTCTTGTGGAGACTGGCCAAGGGTTGGGGCTTTTTGTGAGGTTAAGAAAAAGCTTACATCTTCCTGGACCTGCACTGCTTAAGGACTGACTTTGGGGCTTAGGCTGAACGCTTACACAGGGCTGCCAAATATTTTGGTGACTCTGTTACTGCTTCGCAATGAATACCCCTTTGTAAAGCAGTGAGTCATGAGGGGTAGCAAAGTTGGTAAATTACCCTTTTTGAATAGCAATAATGGACGTAAAAAGAAATCACAAACTTTCTTGATGTTCTAGCCCGTCGGACCTTCCTTGGACCTCAGCCAGGCAGTTGCCAGAGTGACGGCTACCGCTACGATCGCTGCGTTAAAAACATCACACTATTTTGTCCAAAACAATTCAGGCACTGGCCTTCCAGTGAGAAATAAGTACATGACTTTAACAGCAAGCTCAGCATGTGCTGCAAGATCTCAAACTTCCTTTCCAATTGGACGTGGACCCCAAAGTAGTTTTCTGCAACGCTTTGTTCCTCGAACGCAGCTCGCACAAGCCTGCTCGAGCAGAATGACCTTACAGCACAAGCCCCGCACTACATCGAGCCCATCTCAAAAACATCTCAAGCCTGTAACTGCTCCCCAGCGTGTGATTTCTACCGGGACTCGGGCCCAGCCTGGATTCCAAAAGCGTTCCTTCCACCACTCAAGCTAGGAGGAGCGTTTGAATGAGGTGAAAGGCAAATTACCCCGAGGGATTTTTCAAAACTCCGAATAGCAATTCCTCTTCAGGTTCCCCGCTGACCCTACCCAGAGCCAGGCACAAGCTCCCTCTGTGCACACCCACCCCGCCCGGCGCGGGTCCCTGCCGCAGGAGAGCGAGCAGGGAGCAACCCCTGCACGAACACCCTCCAGCAGCCCCGCAGGGCACTCACACATGCTCCTGAAGCAAAAACAGGTCTCTCACGCATCTCGCCTTTCGCCCTCCGGGCAAGGGCCCCGGC